TGTCTGATTTAAAACCTAGATATGGAGAACCACTTCTCATGTACATTCTTCATTCGGATTTTTGAATGCATTTCTGAATTTTTATTACATGCCGAGTGTAGGCAAAATTTCTCCCTTTTCTTATTCGATGTCTGATTTAAAACCTAGATATGGAGAACCACTTCTCATGTACATTCTTCATTCGGATTTTTGAATGCATTTCTGAATTTTTATTACATGCCGAGTGTAGGCAAAATTTCCGTTTCGTGCATAACTTATGCCAGATACCAGAATGTGTGGAAGTTCAGCTATTGATTGACACAGCTATCAATTGGAGTCAGTATTTGTGCCAATTGCTACCACACATACATCATGTCAAACTGAGACCACAACTTACCAGTAAGCTTTAAAGCAACCATAATATTCATTACATCGAACCCAAAAAGATCATTTCAATAAAGGAACGTTCGAGTAACATCAAATTGCACACGCATTACTACATTCAAAAGACAATTCAAGAACTATTCACAATATAATCGACAGATTTTTCAACCAACAACAAATTGCACACGCATTACTACATTCAAAAGACAATTCAAGAACTATTCACAATATAATCGACAGATTTTTCAACCAACAAGATAAGACATTTCGCAATGCACATCATTTCAAGAATGGTGGAAAAACATACGCGTTAACAAATAAATCCCAATTCATTCGTGCGAACATGAAAATCCCAATTCGTTCGTGCATAATTAAGACATCACAAGTCAAAACCCGTAATGCAACCATCACATAATCTAGGTTTATCTACCAAATGATACTATTTAGCTCGAGCATTCGACAGTTTCGGTCCTACAAAATCAAGTGCCAAACCATATTATTTCCCAAAAACCCCTCCAAAAAAACGCACATACCCCACTAAACAAACACACATCACTCTATTCCATCACAGCAACACCTCCAACGGCTTTGATTTTCTCGATGATGCTGTTAGCCTCGTCTTTCGTGACCTGCTGCTTGAGCACAACTGGAGCTTTCTCCACCAGTTCCTTAGCTTCCTTCAACCCTAAATCTGTAAACGAACGAATCTCCTTGATCACCTTTAGTTTCGCGCCCGCATCGAATTTCTCCAACTTGACGTCAAAAGTTGTTTTCTCTGCCTTTTTTTCCTCGACCTTAGGAGAACCGGGCCGCGAGCCCACATCCACACCTTCAACTGAAATAGGCTGAAGCTTGGGGTGCATTACCTTCTCCCCAAGGGCCGGCCCAATCTGCGAACGCTCTTCAGGGGGAAGGGAAGCAATTTTCTCGGCAAGCTTGATTATTTTTTCTGAAGGTGGGGGCCTAGGCCCGTATGGATCATAGACAGCAGGGTACTTGTACCTTATGGGCTTGGATTTGGGGTCCCGAGGGACAAAGTCGTGCTGGAAAAAACGGTACTGCATGAGGTTGGTTTTTCTGAACAGGGTCGGACCAGCACGAGCAAGTCGGTGTAGTGTGGCAGCACTCATTGTTTGTTTCTGATGTGTATAAAAACTAAAACAATGAAGAAAGAATGGGATTTTGGTCTGGGAGTTGTGAAAATTTATATGTTTGCGGAAACCAATGCAAATGATAACGGGATCATTTCCACGCTTTTGCTACTCATCTTGCCTTCTGCACAAATTTGTACAGAAAACCAGAATCGACATCAGGGACTTGCAGGAAAATTATAGAAAACATTTCAACTCAACATACTGCACTGAGAGAAGAAGGGGCGTTCAGAACGAACAGTGAGCCTGTAGATATATATAGTTGGCAACTTGGCACACAGTGATAAAATTTAAAATAATGTCAGAACATTAAGTCTCATATTTTGTAAAAGAAAGCTGTGATGATTCATTAGCAGAGTAGTGAACAATGAACATGCCAGAATTATGAAATATTCGAAAACAAATAAAAGCCATCGATATTATATACAGAGAATGGCATGTGACTCAAGTATCATAAATTCAAAGTATATTACAATAACCGTGCCAGTGTGGTTCAATGGTGACACAGGCATCATTCACAATGAGCAGCTTTCAAAGAAATGTTATTTGTACATAAATGAATATACCCTTTAATGAACAAAGGACATTACTAGGGATGGCAATGGGCCAGGTAGGTACCGACCCGGGCCCGCACACCTGCCCCATGGACCCGCCGCCCTGGCCAGTGACCCACAACGGGTCCAGCAGGTTCGGCCCGCGACCTAGCCCGTTGCGAGCGGGCTGCCCCGCCCCAAAAAGGCAAAAGAAAGTGGAAACTTCTGTAAAGGGAGAGTGAAAAAATGGTATTTTTGCAAAAACATATGTTATCTACCTCAAAGAAGAAGAAGAAAAAAAAAAAAAAAAGAGAATAAAAAAGAGTTGCACATTAGTGCTTGATAACCCATATGTGCGGTCTCCAAGATTGAAGGCAACTTTTAGTTCTTTGAACAGTAAACATTCTAAACTCTAAACAGACATATTAGTTCTGATAGTACAAATTCACACATTAAAATAAACTAACTAGCAAATTCCCTCCACAATAACGCTCAGAAATCCTTTCAGATTTCCTAAACAGAACTCCTCACAATTTACCAAAAAAACCATTAAATACTTTGTCTCTAACCTTTGCTAAATCACAAATTCTTATGTTATACAGTGACCACGAATAAAAATTGCATATTCATTTTATCGAATATTATACTTTTAGTTTTATATTTTAGATTATGATATTAAATATTCGTATTAGTGAAGATAGCACAACTCATGCTAAGCTCAAATCTACAATTCATGCTAAGCTCAAATTATATATTTTTTCTACATCTTTTAATATATATTAATACTCTGTCTCTAACCTCTGTTAATATATATTAATCTGTTAATATATATTCAAAATACTTTTACTACAACTAAGAAATATATAGTTTTAATCCATCAGAATAAATCGGTCGGGTAAAAGGTTCTCGCAGAGGAACTTCTTCACCCTGATTTATATACAAGGATTTTTCAGTAGCTTACTAAATCAAAATGTATGAAATTATACACCATTCTTGGTAAAAAACACAAACTAATGCTTCAAGTTCATCCAAAATCAAATTGGCAAAGTTCCACCATCAACCAAGAATATGGATATGCATTAGGCAATTAACCTTCCAAATCCATATCAAATCCCAGAGTCAGTTATACAAAAAATCTATGGAGTCATCGGATGGTTTTCTTATGGAGCCATCTATCATTTAATATATTGACACCTGTCCAAATTGTAATTATTGAAGGACACGTGAATTAGTTAATAAGTGTGGATTGCTCCATAAGGCGAGCCATCTGATGGCTCCATAGCAAAACTAAACTGGTCAGTTATATAGGAGCCTGAAAGTTTAACAGATCCATTTTCTTGTCAAAATTGCAAAAAAAAACTCTAAAATCATCTTCTGTCATCCATCAATAACACCTCAGAGTTTCAATCAGTGGGTACAGAAACCAAAACCATATGTCACAGACCACATCAAAGTTTCAATTAGTGGGTATAGAAACCAAAACCCTCAACAGTAAAGCAGCCAAAGGAAAAAAGTGTGAAAGTTATACCTCTGTATGAGACTTCAACAAATCCAGAATCCGGCTATGGAAAACCTTCCTCAACATAAAATTTCCGCTAAGAGATTCAGACGTGCTCTTGCTTTCGATTGCTTCAGAATTCAATAGGAGAGGACGGGGCGGCGACGTGAGGCGAGGTCGAGGCGGAGGCTGAGAACACCTTTCCTCTCCGGCGGGCGGCTGTGAACTGGAGTTGAGATGAAGAAAGAACGACGGGGCGGCGGCGTGAAAGAGTGTGTGAAAAAATGGAGTGGTGAAATGAATTAGAAAGAAAAAAGAAAAAAAGAAAAATCCCAGTAAATATTAGTATCTATTTTATATTTGTATAAGAACTGAGAGGCGTCAAGAGTTCAAAGACAAGGCCACGGGCTGGGCCAGCCGCCGGTTTGGTCTGAATCGGGCCTACATTAGTCCATAAGGGTCCGGAACCAAATCTATAGATTGATTGGGCCGATTTTGGGTCACATATTTATAAAATTTTGAATGACCAGGTTGCATTCAGGCCGGCCAGGAATCGGTCGTGGAGACGGCCTGCCATTTTTTTATTTGTTTTCTTATTTTTAATAATTTCTTGGTCAGGCTGGGTTCGGCCCAGACCTGCTAGTAGCTGTTTGTAGCCTGAGTATCTGGGTCATTGGATCTTTTTTATCGTTGGAGATCCTATGACCATATTTAAGTTTTTTTTTTATTGGTTTAGGGTCAGGGTTAGATTTCAGGTCGGAATCGGCCCACTCGAAATCGCCAACGTTTGTTTTTAAAATTTGACCTTTGAGATCCAATAATTATGATCCGGATGAACCATCGGGCCGACTCAGGCTTAGCAGGTCCCTTTATTAAAAAATAAAATAAAAAAATCTGATAAATACCCCAAAAAATCAAAATTTTCTCATTCACAAATTCTTCTTCTCTTCTCTATTAATTTCAAAGTTCTTGAAGTGTTAATTTTTAGTTTTTGTGCTCGATTTCCATAAAATGGGTTCGATTTCGTGTAAATGCGATCCACAAGTCTTGATTTTACATACTTTCTCTCATTTCGGTTTTGGTTCTATCGATTTACATTATATTCTCTCATTTCTAATTCTATATTTTTCACCTCTCTTTTTTATTTCATAAGATCTATTCTTCAAGTTATAAAATATCAAGTGCTCATGATGGTGGTCATACCGGAGAACGGCCACTACAAAAGCGTAATAGTGTAGGTGAATCTTCTTCGAGTAGACCTCCATTGCTAACACTAAGACTGATGGTATACCGGGACGTTCCGGATCTTTCGAATGGCGTTGAGACCGAGACGGTCAACGCATTTTTCACTCTATTGAGGAAATCCACAAAAGCTTACAGTTCGAGGAGAATCAGGAGTAGCCATATGAAAATGATTTTGATCCTACTCAAAGTGGAGGAGGTGAACAACGTTAACAGACTTGGACGACCGTCTTCGGAGTCAAGGGTTGAAATTCGACATATTAACACGGCATTTCACGAAGGCGCCTAACGAGGAAAAAGGTTACACATTTTACATGTATTTGCAACCATTGTCTGCCCAACACAAAGAAAAAGTATGCTTTCCAAACCGGTGATGGGTACAGAATGATACAACGACACATACGGTCACATCATCCGGCCGAAACGGGGATTCCCACGACCCAAACGGAATTTTAGGTCTCGGGCAGGAGTAGCACTGCATCCACAAGTATGTCTTCTATTTTATTTCGAAAACCATTAAAAAAATACTAGTTGAATTTGTTTATGCTTCGTATCTTCCTTTCAGTTTTGTTGATTATATAAATTTTTTGCTCAAATTGCTATAAACCCCGTCGCGTCTCTAATTCCACGTACTATTCTCACTCGTGATACCCAAAAAAAATTCAGTGAGAAAAAAAAAAAATAATAATCTTGGTGCAAATTTGTGAAGCTTTAAACCGAAGAATTTCTAATTATTGTGACATTTGGTCCGGCCATTGGCAATATAATTTTTACATAGGAATTACTTGTCATATATATAATACTTTTACATTACAAAAAATTAGTTGTTCCTACAGAATTTTCTAATGCTCACATTGTATCTAAAATCGCTAGTTTAATTTCGCATATCTTGAGTTGTTATAGAATTGTTAAAGACTTTTTTCTATTTCTTTTGATAAACAACACAAACTAATGCTTCAAGTTCATCCAAAATCAAATTGGCAAAGTTCCACCATCAACCAAGAATATGGATATGCATTAGGAAATTAACCCTCCAAATCAGATCAAATTCCAGAGTCAGTTATATAGGAGCCTGAAAGTTAACAGATCCAATTTCTGGTAAAAATTGCAAAAAACTCTAAAATCATCTTTTGTCATCCATCAATAACACCTCAGAGTTTCAATCAGTGGGTATAGAAACCAAAACCCTCAACAGTAAAGCAGCCAAAGGAAATAAGTGTGAAAGTTATACCTCTGTATGAGACTTCAACAAATCCAGATGATGAGATTAGATAGTGTGGATTTAATGCGATTTATTATCAAGTAAAAAACCGACTCCCGTTTTTCACGCCCACTATCACTTTCTCTCCTTATGTTTATCTTCCTTATTCGTTTTTGTTTTAAAAAAATCCATCCTTATTTTTGCGAGAAATTTTGGTGGGACAGTGAGGACAGAGCTGGTGGGCCAAGGTCGATTTTGGGCTGCTGGGCACCTCCAATGCGGGAGCACTCCTAGGGTTGTGAGCAGAGGAGTTCCGGCGAGGTTCGAGTAAGAGAGATAGGGGCACAGTGAGATTAGAGGACGATGGTGGAGGGAGGCGGAGGAAGAGGAGAGAGAGGGCTAGGGTGTGGAGAAAGAGAGGAGAAGTGGTGGTGAGATTGGAGGCAGAGATGATGGGATGAGGAATTGCAGAGACGGTGAAAGCGACAGCGGCTCGTCGCAGGCAACAGTGTGTGTATATAATTTGTATATGTTACGTATATTGTATGTATATAATACATTTTGTATTAAATAGTTTAGAAGTTGTTATCAACCAACAACATTAGGTTGTATATGTTCAGTATATATAATGTATATGCGACATTTTTTTTGTCGTGGGATTTTTTTTGGAGCATGTTCATTAACAGAATTTTCTTTTTGTGTATATATTGTGTATATAATGACTATATTGATTTATCTTCTATATATATATTTTCTTTTGTGTCAACTATATACAATGAGTATATATGATGTATATGTTCCCGAAAAAATATATTGTTTTTTTTAATAGATGTTAAGGTCAACAGTATATTTTTAGTATATGTACATGAGTACGATTTCAACTTGTTTTATATATTGTAAATATACGTGATTTTATTTGATTGTCATCAACAATTTGTTGTTTTGGTATAATAGAAAATTATTGCAACATATACTGAATATATACGTACGTTTAATGTACATTTAATATACACTATTAACATGTTGTGATGCTAAAAAATAAACAAAAAGCAGTTCGATAAGTAAAAAATACGTGTGTTTGGCGAAATATGTTTTCACTATTGTGGGATTCGTGTATATCAAAAAGAAAAATCCTTTGTAATTAAAATTCATAATTTTTCCTATTTATATATTGAACAAACTCTTAATTAATAGGAGAGAGAGAGAGAGGGAGAACGAGAGAGAGAGAGGCCAAGAGAGAGAGAGAGGCGTACCTCCACAAATAAAGGAAGAGTTGCATTTCAGTTTGGTAACTGAAATCCTGACATTTTTTTAATTAATTACCATGTAGTTGGTAAAAAAGTAATAAAATATATGTCCATGATATAATTACAATTACTTTCAATCCGTTAAGTAAAGATAAATTTTTTTCTTTTTTTTTTAATTGGTTTCAGGACAGGGCAGGGTTAGATTCCAGGTCCGAACCGGCCCGCTCGAAACCGCCATCGTCTGTTTTTAAAATTGACCTTTGAGAGCCAACAATCATGATCCGGATGACCCATTGGGCCGACTCAGGCCTAACAGGTCCCTTAAAAAAAAAAAAAAAAAAGTGAAAAACACCATCAAAATCTTCACTCCATTCACAACATTCTTCTTCTCTTCTCTATTAATTTCTAAGTTTGAAGTGTTAATCCAACCCTTGTCTATACATATATACATGCACACATACACAATTATTATTGCCAATAACAGAGCTCAATATGGGTCATTTTTCAATTTTCTTTTGGACGAAAACATCGTAAATTTTACACAAGTTATAATTATTCACAGACATGTACTTAATATTTTGTCAACAATTTCTATATACAATCAACTCTCATCCAAGGCCACGCAACACCACCACCAACACACGCCATACGTATTCACAAACTAGCACCTGCATAATCAAAATCAAGCTCTGCTTATAATCATTATCCACCTTTGAAAAAAATGGCACGGTCGATCTATTCTTATCTAAACTGAGTTGTCCTTACTTCCTTCTCTACCAATATCCATTTTTAAAATAGGCGTTGATGGATCCTTGGACAATATGATGTTCCCCTCGTGATCGGTTAATCCATAAGCAGCAACACGTGGATCCATGACCATTTTGCATGAGATTGACTCGTCACATCCCATTTGAACACCATAGTAAGTCAGGTGATCAGAAATACTGTTCCCACTCACTGACCTGAAATTTTTTTAACAAAGTTCATAGCAGTTGGAAAAAAAAAAGGTGGAGTATGTAAGCAAGATATCGACGTCATAAATGTAGAAAGTGCTCCAGATAACGTTGGGTGGCTACATTGAAAATATTAGAATAAAATCCATTCTTTTCGAAATATCAAACACTTGCCTGCTACAAGACGGGTCTTCTCCAGAGTCATCACAAACCTTTTCAACTGTGTAAATCAAACTCCCAAACCCAATATTGTATAGCCAAATCTACAACATGAAGGTCGCGTGATGCAATTACAAAACAGATCTAATAAAAATGATACAAATGGCACGTGAAACATTAACATGGAAAGTGATTTTGGGGGATCTAAACACAATATATGGAAATGACTATGTTTGAATGTCAGCAAATTGAAACAAAGAAAACCGTAAGATAGACATAACATATATTTCAGGGTAAAGTGGGTAACAATACTGAAACAACTTCCACACCCATTCTCACTTAATAGTGATCATGTGAATTTGAACATTTGTATAATCGAATATGTTCAAGCTTCGTGTGTGTGTGTGTGTGTATATATAACTACCGAGTATTTATGAATGGAAGGCGGGAGGGAGCCCCTGATTGAAAACGTAAAGCCACTTCGACTAGATAATATTCATACTGAAGTTAAGACAACAGAAAACGAAAAAAAACATACTCAGGAAAAGGTTGTAGTGTCTTAACAGATACATGTACTCATATGATACTGCCAAAGCAATTACCTCTCTAGCAAAATGATGATATGTCTTTTGAGGAAAATAATAGTAATATGGTGGCAAATGTGGCACAATATCATGCCCATTCGTTACGCGGATTGAATCGGGCACAATTTGGTTGAAGTAAGATGCAAAGGCAGCATTTCCAATCCTAGGCTGCCCAAATGTCATAACCTGAACATTCTGTTCCCTGAGACTGAGCTGAGAAGAGGACAACAAAATTTCAGGAAAGAACTCAAAAATGTCAAAAACAAAATAAAAGTGCATAGATGATTTATGAAACTGTCTTTAATGAGCCCTTATTTGAACTTCAGAGTAAAAAAACCTGATTAATGGCTTTAGACACATTGCATAAATCAGCAAAATTATTCAAAAAAAATGAAAAAGATCTTCCCTGGCACTTGATGCGACGAAGGCTCCTAGTTAATTTTTGTGGTACAAAGAAGAGAGTGCTATAGCTGGAAATATTTTGGTCACTTTTACCATAAAACAGTATTCTCACGACTTTTTTCTTTAACTGTATTTGACGTCTGCAGCATATACTAAATACTAACAAACGACCGAAATTCACACTGTCAAGGAAAATAGTCAAGGATTGGATTATTACACGGAGATCAAGTGCACAAAAGGCAGCCATTGCCCCTCCCATTGAGTGTCCAGTTACCATTATCTTAATGTCACCATACAACTCCTTTGCTTTTTGAATTGCGTTTATAACTCCGGGCCGTAAGGATGTGTTGTGATAAGCGGTATAAAAACCATGATGAACCTAAATCAGCGAAAGCCATGTGAAAACAAACACACAGTAATATACTTAAAGAATAAAATATCAAAATGTTGTTGCACAAACCATAGCACCATCTACTCCAGGGTAATCGATATCGAGCTGCTTCCAGTACAAATCTTCCACCCAGTTTTGAATACTGCAAGTATAAGTATATCATAAATGTAAGAACGAGAGACATAGATAAAATAACACCAACTCCATCCTTGTTAAGAATATCACAACACTTGAGATCACAACTATTAGCATTGGATAATATTGACTAAGAAGTAACATATCGCACACAATAATAGCCTCATTGTACTATAGAGTTTATTCCACAAATATGGGCTTAATCACTTTAACAAGAAACATCTTTGGGAAACAGAATATCATTAAGGACATGAAACTCATCAAACACAAGAGAGAACCTGTGTTCTTGGGTTCCCCTGAATGCAATCACAATGGCATTAAGGTCAGTTGCAACACCAACAAATCCCTGTCAATAAACAAAGAAAAAAACCAACATTAAGACATACTGAAGGAAATAAAACATTAAGGAAATGCTTTTACAAACATTCAAACCCTATCTAATGGAATTAAATGAAGATCAAACAGGCAAAAGCTAACGCTTATTTTCCAGACCTGCAAGCACCGCTTCACATCAACAATCAGCTCGATCACCTCGAATCCCTGAATGAAAGAAAGATGTGGAAACAATGTGAATATCAAGTCAAGTCATTTAATTTCGGTATTATAGCTCAATTATTACATACCTCAGTTAGACCATTACACCTTGAGCAAGTCCATGTAAACAACTCGGTCAAATCCGACATATATACCTGAATATTAAGCATTGATTTACTAACCTTTCAATATAATCTCTGAATAAACAAAAATCTTTAGTTCCATTTATTGTTTCACGACAGTAATCCTAGTGGAGTATAATATTAATACATTAACATCAACAATAAAATTTGTTTACTTCTTCTATTTGATGAAAATTAGTAATAATACCAACTTCTTTAATTAGTAAGAAGACAAAAAATTTGAAACTATTAGGATGTGTTTGTATACAAATATCTCCGCTCGAAATGAGTTTTTTTGGTTAACCAGAGTTAATTTTGAAAAAAGTGGTATGCTTAGTTGTTAGTGGGATTTTAATTTTATACTAAAATAATATTTAAAATAAAATAATTAAAGTTAATTTGATGTAAAAGTAGGAGAAAGATGGTGTGAAGTGATTATTAGTTAAAATTATGTGAGTAGATGAATAGTAAATTAAAGATGATAAGATCTGTAAGAATGATTGGTAGGCATTATTTCTAAAATTGAGGATGGTGGAGTTGAGTTAAAGTTGAAATAGATTTTGAGTATGCATTATGATTTTTTATATACAAACATACCCTTAATGTATTAGACACGTTATCTGGAGGTAAGCATAAGACACGAGTCTCAATGAACCACACATCGTTGTGAACGAGTTAACTATCCATTTACCAACTGGAGGTAAGCATAAGACACGAGTCTCAATGAACCACACATCGTTCTGAACGAGTTAAGTATCCATTTACCAATAGCAAGACAGATTTAATTCAAAAGTGATACTTACGGCTGAAGAATATTGCACCAGTATTTTAGCAAGAGTGTGATTGAATATTCCCAACTGGTGATGCTTATTGTGTTTATGCTTCACCGTCACCTTTAATTCTGCAGCCAAAATAAACAATGTGAATATTCATAGCTCTTCAATTAATAATACCAAGATCAAGAAAAAAACTTGTCCATACCAAATAATAAGAAACTACAATGCTTTTAAAATTCAAATGCCTTACACCTCAAGAAACTATCTGAAATTTAGTAGTAAAGCTAAACAACAAGCTAAATCAATGTTTAAACTAGGACCGAGAAATACAAATAATTAAAACTCAAACTTTCTCATAAAAATAAAGCAAATAAGTAACTGAAAAAGGTTTTGAAACTTGACCACCATTCAACTTAGTTAGGGAAAGTTCAAACTCGCTACAAGTTAGACAAGACACTAGAATAATTTATTACCTCTACATGATAAGAGTGTGAACAAACATACGATAATTGCGATTAACAACCAGCCCTTTCTCTCCATACCCTGCAAAAGAAATACAAGTAAAATAAAATGGAAACATACACACTCAATAACTAGCAGAAAGAACAATAACTTTCCAGCCAAAACTGAGAAAGAAACAAGAGAAAAGTAAAAAAGACTCAACTATTAGTAACCCTATTATGGTTTCCAGCGTTCAATTCAGCGTAATAGAAGTGTCTCACCAAAAGAAGCAATTGGATTCCAATCTAAGTAGGATTATCATATTAATGTAGGGTCAATATTGACATATAACCCTTTATGTTCAGAAAAATACCAAACTGAAGTCTAATATTAACCTAAGTGACTCGTCACTCTCAGGATGGGCCAAAGCCTAGGAATCGTCATACTCAGGAATATACCAAACCTATGAACCATTCACGCCGGTGGCTCCAATCCAATCAACTGAATCAAGAGATGGAACTTGACCTTGCATATTGGTTCAGATAACCACAGACAATCTGTTCATTTAGTGGACCATTCTATGCAAGCCTAGATGTTGAAATCATAACAAAACCAAACACATTCTCAAGATTCATGCACAAATAATCCAACTCAAATGCTACTTGGTTCACACAAGACCATAAAACTTATAGTGCAAAGTTGATGACAAGACTATCCACACTGTAGAAGAAAAAGACACAACTGACATGCACCTATCATGTGATTACAATGTTAATGATTTTCCTTACATAAAAAGAGGTCGTAAAAGTTACTTTACTCATTTGATTGACAAACTACAGGCCTCCAAAATGCCTTATCGAGTACCTTAAAATACAAGAGGGAAATTCTAAAAAACTGCCATCTTGAGCTTTAGCAATAAATACAAAATATCTAATAATACACCCGTAATATACAATTTAATATAGCAACAAACGATTCTACATACGTATTTTTGGAAAGCTGTCAAATAGCAACTGAAATTAAGATGAAGATTCATAGAACAAATGAATACTTCAAATTTCAAGGGTAAATGCTCGAAGGGATAGAAATGTACAGTGTGCAGAGATTCAAGAGCACAAAAAGGATTGCTTTGACCAGCATTCGAATTTTCAGCACAAGTTTTTCTATAAAACAGATATTAGACTTGTTCTTGAAATTATGAGACGTGAAGGTATAGAACTACAATGTCTATGAAACTCCAAACACTGACAAGCATGCTAACAGGATCAAAATAGTGCAAAACTCGGCAGCACTGCTGCAAATAATTGCAGAAAACACATAAGATCGATGTTTGTATTATAGACATAACTTTTAATAGGAAAATAGATATTGGAGTAATTCTTGTCCCTATATAACACCAAGGACATATCTTCAACTTTCACGAAGATGGTGAAAGCAGAACAGGATGTTAGGAAGGTGGAAACATCTCACAAACAATCAAACATCGGAAAGCACGTGTCTGACAATAAACAGCTCTTTGCAGTGAAGGTAATTTAAGAATAACTTTTCCCAGAACATAGATAATTGGTTACTTCTTTCAGCTACAGATAGCTAAGAGACTGAGTTACAAGTTTTGTGAAGACACCAAAAACGACCAGCTACTTTATGAAGGCGAAAACAGCATAAAACCACAGAGACAGAATGAAGTCAAAATAAACCGGAAGAAATTCTAAAACAAACTTCCTCAAGTTCAATTATGTTCCTCACCAGTTCTATAACTCATCAAACACTAATCCCCCGATATTCATCCTCGATTGTTTTCAAGTTTTATCAATAAGCCCCATGAATCCCTTAAATTACCTAAGCTACTCAACCATCAAGGATATCCAATTATTTGAAGCCATGTAAATAACAATAAACTTCCTTCATTCGTCATCCAGATATTATAACTGATTCAATTCCTCACCTTGGCTATCTGCACAATGATTGACTTAGCCACAGCAGCCCTTGGGGGCTCCGACGAACGCACAACGGTGTCCGGCCGAGTCGAATTAACACAGCATAACAAATAAGGAAACTAAGTAATCCTGAGCTTATCGCCGGAGAGAATAAGGTGGATAGAGGTGGCCGGAGACAGAAAGATTGAGAAGAAAGAGAGCGAGCAGGAGAGGATGAGAACAGTTGTGGAAGAGTTCACGAGAGAATTGGGGCTGCGACTGTCGGCAAACTGCAAAGGCAAGGAAAGGTTTGAGTTTTTGAGTTTAATTAGGGATACTGAATGAATGTGTTAGTTTGGATTTGATTGGATTTTTAGTAAATAAAGTGAATTAATTTTTCAAAAATATTGTACCAAAAAAAAATTTAAAAAAATATTGATCAATTTTGATTTAAATAAGATTTTAAGTTCGTAGTTAAATAATACCTAAAATATAATTATTATGAGAAAATATTATTAAAAGTGAGGTGGTTAAAATTATGTTAGAAGATCTAACTGTAGCTGTAAAAAATTGTTTTCCTCAATTCGTCTGAGACCCTTCTTTCTCAACTCGATTCAAGTAAATTGTTGCCTCCCTTTCGCTTAATTCTCTTCCCCGCCATGGGGAGACCTTCATCGGGGCCGTAATGAGTGGCTTGTCACTCTGCTTTTGCTTCCGTGTCTGGCATGGCGCTTCGTCGTCTTCTTCTGGTGGTCATGGTGGGTTTAATCGGGGGTGCCGGCGGATTGGGAGGGTGTACGTCGTCGCCGGCGTGTCAACTGCCTTGGTGGTGGATGAGCTTGAGACCCGTGCCGTTTTGGGCCTCCCTTGGTTCCTATCCGCCCTAATGATGCGGGGAAAGTTCGACGGTGTCTCGGTGGAGCTGCAGTCAGTGTGGTGGCCACGGTGGCCGGTTTGGCGGTGGGAGGTCCAAGGTGTTGGTCTCGCGATGAGGTCTCGGGGAGGCTCCTTTGGGAGGGGACCGACTCGTCTGGACAGGTTCTAGTTAGGTCTTATGCAGTTTCTAGTTCTTGGTCGGAGTTGTGAAACTGTCTGTTGTGCGGGTGCCGTCTCACTTGGTGGTTCTTGGAGTTATACTGCAGATGGGGAGGGCTTAGTAGTTTATAGTTCCTTTAGCATGTTTTTTCTACTTCTTTTTTTTTTCTACTTTCTGTGTTTTTGTTGGTGTCCTTAGGTTGTTTAGTATTGTGTGTTTAGCTGTGTTTTTTGTTCTTATGTTGTGTTATTCTCCCATAGGGGCGCGTGTTATTCTCCCGTAGGGGAGCATGTTATTCTTCCGTAGGGGAGTTTTCTTTCTTCAGTTGTGGAGTTTGTTTTATTTTTGTGTTGTTAGTGGGTGCGTTGTTTCTAGTGTAGCTGCTAGACGATCCTCTGGATCTGTCCTCTCACTAGATTCGGCTCTTGAGCTGTTTTATTCGGCTTTTGGGTTGTCTTCTAGATGTATGTATGTGTTTTTCTTCTATAAAATTTCTATCGTTCCAAAAAAAAAATATATCTACCTATAGTTGTGGCCACGAAAGAGAATGTTATTGTAGTGCGAGATGTCTTTCTTTTAATTGATAGAGATAGGAGTTTGATTCTCAAGGTTTGTATTCATGTTACGTTGTATAGGAAAAAAATTAATGCCTCAGAGGAGGTCAAGGCTGGAGTATTCACCAGGGGCTTGTGAGCTAGTCCCGATAGAAGTTCGTAAGCCAGAGTTAACCTATGACGAGGTGTTGATAAGATGCAAAAAGTACATAAATATAGAAGAGTAAGATATTGAATTTGCTAATTGGAGAAGTTATCTCGACTTGGGGTGAAAAAGAGAGAAGAAGCTCGCCGAATTAAAGATCAAAAGAAAAAAGAAGATAGGCAGAGAGGTCGACCAGTGAGGGATAAGAATCACTGGCCAAGGTTGGCAGATTTTTAGTTCAAAATATTTGTGGTGCCCAAGCAGAAATCAACTTGACTAAATCCGATTGGAGAGATACCTACCAAACTTAAAGACAAGTCTTGGGCTATCTTTGCCAATTAGGTTCTCAACTCCGGTAGATGAGGTTTCATCATTATGATGATTTGTAATTATAACAATACAACTTTCGAGCTTAAAAAGTGGGAGGATACAACACATTCAACATCCACTTTCAAGAGTAGTTCATTATGATGTAGATACGACAAATTGTCTCTTATTTGTGAAATGACAATGGGTCAATGGTTGACTTAGGGTATATTTAGTAAAATCAATTTATAAATTAACTGACAGTTGATAAGTTAGCTCATGATTTTTAAAAGTGAAATTTCGGGCTTATAGCGAGTATTTTATGGATTATGGTTGAACTTGCTGATATGATAAAAGCATTTGGTAAATTGAGCTGATAAGCGGTTGAAATAAAAAAATTAATGAACTTATTTGAAAAACTAAGCAAAAAAAATTATGAAATAAGCTCGAGTTTTTTTTTTTTTTTAAGAAAACAACTCGTCCTACGAAACCAAACATATTTGTATACATAAACTTCATAAACTAACAAATAAAACATATTTGTGTACACAAACATCATTAACTAACAAATAAGTTATAAATTAGCTTATGTTGCTTGTCAATCAGACTATGTGATGGAGACGAGACTGATATAATATTTTTAAATAAATATGCTTATCTTCGTATCTAGTTTAGATTTTGTCATTATTAGAGTCTTTTATTATTAGTCTTATTATGGGTGTTGGAATTTAATTAAGCAGTAGACTTTTAATTTTAGGTAGTAGAAGATTGTTGGACTCTCCTTTCTTATGTAATCTCTTCCTACGCAGAAGAGGCAGATTATTATCGATTGAAATAAAAAGTCTGTTCGACTCTTATCATGTTCTTCCCTTTCATACTCACGCTCTACATCAGCTGGTACAATGCAATCGCACTGTTCTTCCATTCGAACTAACCTACCCTCTACCAACCCATAACTAAAATAATTGTTTGTCAAAATCATTACATACTACTAAGTTAGACTAGTGTAAATTATTCCGTTCAAAAATTAATTTTGTTCGACCAGTGTGTTTATCTTAAATAGTTTAAATATAAAATAAATACCATTTCAGTATATTGGATACTTATAAATATATGATATAAATTAGTTTAGACAATTGCAT